GAAAAGGAAGGTGAGATTTACAAGAAAGCTTTCATCATGAAATTGGTAGATGTTCTATAATTGATTGCTTAAAAAGTATTTAACAGAAATTCTTAGAATTTTTGGACAAACCAGCATTGCCCTCTCCTCTCCATTCTGCGTGTTCAGTCCCCCAAGTCATTTTGAAATTTCATTGTTTCCTGCCCTGCCTCACACCTGCCCCTACCTTGTCATCCATTCAATGCTCATTGTTTTCTGTCTGTCCACTATATCAACATCACTGCTTTTTCTTAAAGCGCTAAGAGACTTCTAAGCCCAACAGGTGGTTTCTGCAGTTTCCACTCACATTTAGCAGGCACATCTGCACAGTCACTCTTGACGAAAAGCAGCACCGACAGCAAGAGCCACCTGTGTGACATCCGTTCCCTCACATGCACAAATTCTTCACCTACAGCCTCTACCGCATGGCCCAGAAGCGCAAACTACCGCTGTCAGCGGAGCTGCTGCGCAGTTGTCCCAGGGCTTGCCACCATCAGAAGCTCTTTACATGGCTGCACCTGCATTTCATCTTGCAACAAGCCCGCCGGATAACCACCAGCGGTATTTTACCAGGTAAGGAAACTGATGAAGAGTGTGACTGAGCAATTTGACCTAACGCTCCACAGCATCTAGGGAAGATCTAGCTAGGGTTTGAACTCAGAGAGTAGATGCCTGAGCCACGATCTCTAGGATATTCCTCAGAGCCAAAGCCACACTCTTAATTTATTCAGACAGAAAAATGTCGGCTGCACATTAAATGCTGCTGAAGAAAGTGACACATTTACCCCTTCTTCTGTCAACTCAGTTTTTAAAAAATGCCTCTTGAGCCACCAAATGAAATGCCAGCAATTTTACTGGATTGCCTATCATCTAGTTCAGTTTGTACCTTCCTTGTTTGGGACACTGGCAATAAACTCTGACACTCATTTTATAATACCTACTTTTTCGCTTTTTGGAAATATCATTTGTGAAATTGATCCCAGTAGCAATATTTATTTTGTCCAAACTCAACTTCATTCACTTGGTCCTCTCAGAGATAAAATTGGGGTGCTTGTTGAGGCCCCATCATATTACCTGCAAGGGGGGATGCGCTGGCTTGTGGTCTCATCACACTTTGGTACCAAAATGGTGCAAGCAAAGAACATGAGGTATTTGTAACAGTTGGTTGGAACAAGTGCCGGAAAAAGAGAGGACTCCCAGCTGATGGACGCTTCCTTTTGAGTCCTATGGCCAAGGTAATTGGGATACTTTGTGCGGTTGTAGGGCAAATTCATGCAGAGTTCAAGCGTAATTGGCTCACACTGACCTAATGGAAGGGACATACATCAATAATTTTTTAATTTCACTTGTAAAAACAACTGCTTTAATATTTACAAACTGAAAGCCTGTTTCACTGTTTAGAGTGGCTAAGACTAGAATACAAGTCATATATGACATTTTTCTCTGGACATCAAAAACAAATAAGATGGTTAATGAAGTCTTGTGATGAACTAAGATTCATTTCTGCACAGCTTGATGACAGCACAGAACCCCACAAGGATGTATTAGAAAGTCTCACTTTCTTCCTTGACTCAACTAAAAAAGTCCCCCTCTCATCATTTCTTTGATGCAAGTGCATTCACTTTCTTCTTGTTGTCACCTATGAAATAAAATAGCCCCATTTTCTTCAGCCATTCAAAATCACTAAAGAATTTGATTATATAGACAATTAGAGAACTTCTATCTATCTGCCTTACCAGTAGACTTAAACATATGGGTATAATTTTTCAGGACAAAAAGAGGCTGAGGTCTGTTCGACACTTTGCCAGTGAGGATGAAACCCAGATCCTTCAGCTTGCAATCTATGTCCTCTTGAACCACAGCCTCGCTTGCCAACACATGTCCCCAGGCCAGCGGGCTCTGCTGCATGGATGCAGCTCCCCGGCAGCTCCGTACCACAGGGCTGCACGCCCGCATGGGCTTCCCTGCTCCTCTCCCATTTGTCTCCTTTTCTTAACACACGTGCATGCATCCCCTGAAATGAAGCCATATGGTGGTCTTTCTTGGCTTCCCAACAAGCTAGACTGCCCGTGGCTTGGACAACTGGGCCCACACACCACTTTCAGGAAGATTTTCTGGCCAACTGTTCTTCCCACTCCTGATTCCAGTCTCTTCTGGGTGCCACAACATCTTCATCAGGCTCCTGTGTGTACACTCAACGTGCTCTGCATTATTCTTTACTTCTGTACTTTCTTTCTTTTTTTTCTGTATTTTAGGGAAGTGCCTACAGGGTCTCACTACTGAATCGGACTCATAGTGATCCACCTGTTTACAGCCTCCCAGGAGCTGAGATTACAGGCACATGCCACCACACTCAGTCTCAATTGCCATCTCTGTGTGCCCTGGGGGCAGGCCCAGATCTTCAGGCCCAAGAATCAAACCCTCAGCCTCTGTGCCTGCTTGCAGGTGCTTTAATCTGCTGAGCTATTTGGCTGGCCTTGCTTTTGTACTTTCTTCCTCTACACAGTTTCGAGATTTTTGAGAAGTGAGGACTTATCTCAATCTCAGGGTTTGTACCATGCACAGTACCAAGATGGAGGCAGAAAATGTGTCACAAGTGGTCCTAGAACTGCAAATGCAAAAATAATGAAATTAATGTCCCTGCTATTGAGTAGTTCCATGATCTTGATGGCATAAAAGATACATGTACTGGTAGCTATATAACAACATGAACAGCTCGGACAGTTTGTCATGGCCTAAATGTTTGTCTCTCCCACCCCCAAATGCATATGAGTAAACCTTAGGCCCCAGTGTGACAGTATGCAGAGGCAGAGCCTTTGAGAGGTCATTATGTTTAGATGAGCCCAGGGTGGGGATAGAGCCCTCAATATGAGTCAATGTTCTTGTAAAAACAAAACAAAAGAAAACTACAGGAAGTGACTAGAGCTCTTGCTCTAGTCTGTATGAACATATAGTAGCTGCCCAAAAACTGGGCAGGGAGTCCTCACGCAGACCAAATCCAAAAGTACCTTGATCTCGATCTTCCAGCATTCAGAAATGCAAGCACAATGCCTGCTGTGTGAACAGCCACTGTAGCATGGTTTCCTATGGTGACCTCTGCCTGTTAAGACAGTGGTGATGAGCTGAGTGCTACGATCCCAGAGGTAGAAGGTGAGGCAAGGGCAACCAGAGGGCTCAGAGCAACTAGGGGAGCCTTCAAGGATAAATAGGTGGCGGGTGCAGCGGAGAGGCTCCCTGTCCCCTTGGTGGTCACAGTGGCGTCCATACTCCCTGAGCTGAGAAAGGTAACCAAGGAAGCATCCTGGTGAAATTAGACCAAGTGGACTAAAGATCCCGCATCCTATTAATTATTTGAATTAAATGTAACTATTTGACTAAGAAGTGCTATACATACAAACAGATTACTAATTTAAGGACTGGGGTAAAATACTAAAATAGCTCCAAGACTAATTCCTAATTTAAAGAATGATATGGAGAAGGTATAATAGGGCTTTCCATTGCTGGGCAGCTGTGACTCTGGGATGTTGCTGTCATCCTGAGGATGAGTGAAGGGCAGAGAGAAGAGGAGGTAGAAGAGGGGGACACTGACTGTGCTCAGTTTCCTCTTATTTGCGGAGTATTATATCCTAAATGTGTGTGATCCCCCAAAGTTCTTATATTGAGATCTCAACTGTCAAGGAGGCAGAAAATGTGTCACAAGTGGTCCCAGAACTGCAAATGCCCCCATCTTGGTATTTGGAGGTGGAGATAATTGAGGAGATAATTTGGTCGTGAGCTCAGAGCCTTCATGAATGGGATTAGTGTGCTCAGAGAGCTCACTTGCCTTCTTTCTACCATATGAAGACAAAAAGAGAAACTTTTGGCGAGCTGACGTGGCGATGTATGCATGTGATCCCAGCTATTCAGGGTCTGAGGCAAGGGAGCTGCAAGGTCATGGCCAGCCTGCATGACTTAGTAAGACCTAGCATTATAAAAGAAGTAAAAAGGTCTGGGAATGTAGCTCAGTAATGGAAAGTCCCCGGGTTCAATCCCTTGTACTGAAAAAAAAACCAAAATTTTGCTCTCTGCAGTCTAGAAGAGGGTCCTCACCGAAACCGAGGTGCTGGCACCCTGACCTCAGACCTCCAGCCGCCGCAGCCGTGAGGAATGAGCTGGCATGGGACTGATCAGCCCCCCAACAGCACTGATTTATTATCAACTCAGACAAAAGTAACACTGAAGCATTTTGTTTCATATTTTAAAAAATACACGGTCTTTGTAACAATAAAACAATGTGAAAAGCATAAATAATTCCTGATCTCCCCACTCCCTTCTCTCAGCTGGGCCTTCCACTCTTCCTTGCGTACATTTATACACAAAACTGTTTACAGACGGGGGCAGATTCGTGTTTGCTTTTGCCGATGTAGGACCCTGCCATTTCTATTATTCTTCAACTTGCTTTCGTTGAGTCATTATTTTTCATGACCGCCTTACATGTCATACCCAAAGCTCCAACCCTTCACCTTCTTTCTCTACCAGAGTTATAATTTTCTAAAATTAGATCATTCACATAGAGTAGTTTTTATTCACTTTTTCCCCTCTTTACATTTTTCCCTTTTTCTTCCTTCCTCGAAGATTATCTCTTCATTGTTGTATTTCATTTAGACTATTCACACAATATATCGCATCGATAATTTTTATCTCTTTTAATATAGAGAGAATATATCATTTCTGATTAGTGGTAAGATGTAACTTTTAATTGTTTCAAAGTCAAGGGTGATAAAGGGATTAAGTAATGATCCTATATAATCCTGGAGATATTTATAGACTATGGCGAGGCTTCTTAGATGTTGTGTTTAGTTCTTCTGTAAGGCATTCTTTGCAGATTGCTGAGCAAAGCTAAGCTGTCGCAACAGTGCACCTACCAGCGCAGGTGCTGCGATTCACGTCGATGAACTTTTTAATATTATTACTCACTCACGAGCCTGACTTGCAGTGGCCACTAGAGGGCGACCGCGTGGCAAACGCGAAGATGCTTAAATACTGCAGAACTATTTCCACAGCAGGTTGCAGCGTCTAGCGCCTGACCACAGACAAAGTTTAATAAATATCCTTGAAAAAATAAACCTAATGGAATATCGTCCAACTTTCACCATTCAAATTCTGAAAGAAGATTTACTGAATTTAACCTAAAGGTGGGGTTGTTAGCTAAACAACGCTACATCATTATCAAGATGAGACGCTGCGAAGTCACCAGAAATCAAGTATTACACGGCGGCCATTTACCTGAGAAATGTCATTGTTCAATATCAGCTTGCACATATAATAGTCAAAGGTTCGCCTTTGCCTCAACCTTTAGGCTTCTTTTCTTCTTTGTTATTTCTGATTGATGAATTTGGCTTATCTTTCAAGCCTCAGAAATCTCTGGGTTTCCCCTCTATGCATTTTTGTTTCGGTTTCACTACTGAAAAACTTGGGGACTGGACCTGCACAACGTTCCCGCGCTCGGACCTCTCTGCGCTCGC